CCCCCCCTCTCTCTCCGCCAGGCTTGGATTTCCTCTGTGTCAGAGAGGCACGAGGTGTGTGTATGTGTGTGTGTTAAGTTAAGTTGGATTGTTAGTGTAGTTCCAGCTCACCTCATGTTCAAAGACTTTTGGCCAGTTTGCATCTCCACTTGGTCTTCACAAAGTTCCAGTAGTGCTATTATTTTGATTATTATTATTATTATTGTTGTTATTATTGCTGCTGCTTTCAGCTCTCAAACCTTGTTTTAGTTCGACTTGTCGTGCTTGTGCGGCCTGCTTGACGTTTCTGGGAAGCCTCTCGCCTCTAGCCAAGAAAGGTCATCTGAAGCTTCTCCAAAATGAATTGTGGGGAATGGAGTTGATGTCGCTCATTACTGTAGTTTTCCCATGTCGGACTCTTAAGGAGGAGAAGCAGGCCAACCTGCCTACCACACGTGCGCACACAACCTATCAGCCTACCACTACACCCACTGTAGCCCTAAATAGCCTCCTGTAAAGTGGCAGGACCCACCCCCCGCCTTCCTTCAGCTGTGTGTGTGCGTACACACACTAGCTGACCTTGTACTACTCAGTCCCTGTCCCACACTGAATACCAGTTTTGAGTCTTTCCACTGCCAGTCTCCAAATCCTGTCTTGTCACTTGGGAAGGAGCTAGTTTGTAGCACAGCAAAGGCAGACAGGTCCGGTCTGCTGTCCGCCGAGCCCCGATTGGTCAGCTACACATGGGGAAGGGGGAAGGGGGCGGGGGGTGGTCAGGTTGGAACTAGCCACGCCGCTGAGGGGGCCCGTGAAAGGATTTGGAGCCCACCGGAATGTTTCAGGTTGATTCTTTTGAGGTGGATGTTGGCGGTTGGCCTGTCACGCCCTGCTGGTTCGAGACCACCCGCAGCTCCCCTCTCTCTTAAATGAGACTGTTGCTCTAGTCACTCACACTGACACCAGACCTGGCCAGAACAGGACTGAAACATGTTCTTCTAACTATATGAAGGTCAACAAATGAATTTTGAGTTGACATTTTTGCTGTCTTTTTTTTTTTTTTTTTTTTGAATACTTGAAAAGCAACCGCGGTGCTTGATTTGTTTCCAAATAACGGCTGAAGCGACTCAAGATAAATCAAGCGCCGCACATGCTTCAAATATTTGAAAGTACAGATCCAACCTTACTATTCACTATCACAGCCAGCCCAACACACACACACAGACACACACACACACACACTTTGTCACATCTCTGTGATGCTGAGACAGCAATAACTATGGCAGCTTTTGAATGTTCCATCATATCTCGCCCAACACGCAGACTCTGAATTAAACCACAAGTGTCGTATTAATAGAAAAAAAAAAACCCCACCTAAAACTGTAACTGATGACAAATAAGTACTGCAATCAGTTTTGTCTCACTCTGTTCCTGTTGATGCACTGGTGTTAAAGAGTTAAAGTAATCAGGTACCTTTATTACTTAGCTACTTTTCTTGAAAAAAATGGACTTGTTGTTACTTTTAGCCAGCAAGCTGAAGAGCATTACCTCAAAATTCTTATCTAGCCTTGAAGTTTACAGACTTTCAATGTAAATGTTTTTTCTTTTTTTTTTTTCTTGGTTTTTTTTTTGGGTTGTGTGTATTTTTTTTCTCCCCCCAGACATCATGTATTGATGACTTGTAGCTATGATGCTTTTAATAAAAGTGGATCATGATATTCGCCTAGGAAACCAAATCTCAGTTTGTCTCAGCCTACTTCATTATGCAATTTGGGGGAGTCATTTCAAACTGAGACCACGCTGAAAATGTAATTACAGCATTATTTTACAGCAAAGTTAAAAAAAAACTATTTCTAACAGTTGAATCTAAATGGGAAATAATCACTTGAGGACACAATTTGACATGAAAATGCAGTTAGGCGGTAAATTCATTTTTTAACAAGGCAAGTACTTTTTTTTGGGGGGGGGGGGGTTTCCGCATGTGTATGTGTGTTGGTCACGTCTCCTTGTCCTTTATCTGGTGGACCCTCAGAGACAAATAACATTGTGTGTGTCACAAATAACTGGTCAATGATTTTTGTTCTTGTTTTTTTTGCTTTATTAATCACAGACTGTTGTTGGTGTAATTTGCCATGTTATTGGAAGACATTGAAACGGGGGCGGGGGGAATATTTAGAATATTGATAAGAGAATAAAATCTTGGGAGACAACTCGGCAATCTATAAATCATACAGAATGTTGTCAGTTTTCTAAACGTGTGTGTATGTGTATGTGTGTGTGTGTTTCTCCCAGCAGACAGTGGGGAGCAGCATAATATGTGGGTGTGACAGACGTCTGGCCTAATCGTCTTGCCAGAGGAAGTGGAACGTGAAATCCACCAGCCGACCCAGACGCAGACATTCGCACCAAAATACCAAGCCAGCAGAGTGTACCCTAGTTTCTTCTCTTAAGAATTCTTTGACCTTGTTATCCGTCTTAACTCAGGTCATGTCGATCAGTACGGCGTTTTCTACAAGTAAAACAATGAATGCACTGATCAACAGCAAATTTTAATCAGCGATGGCTTTACGTGTCCCCAAAAGTATTTTTGACGCTGCGTTTACTGACATTGGTTTTCCGAAGTGTTCCTGAGCCCATGTGGTGATATCCTTTACACATGTTGGTTTTTGCTGCGGGATGGAAGGTCCCAGCCATTCACTGTTGGTTTTCGGCCTTGCCACTTCCGTGCAGCAATTCCTCCAGATTCTCGGACCCCCCCCCCCTGCACCATAGATCCTGGAATCCCTCAATTCCTTGCAATTGTACGTTGAGGAGCATTGTACTTAAACTGTTTGACTGTCTTCACACACAGTTTCTCACAATGAGGTGAACCTCGGCCCATCTTTGCGAATGACTGAGCGGGCAAGCACCTTCATTGGAATTGAGTTGATAAATAGTTCTTGGTCAGAATTTATCGTAAATTGTAGTTTCACGGTTTTTAATTTTGAAAATCCGTTCACCCTACTTTGACACTTGTTGCCAACAGCACACGCAGTCTGTTAGCATGTGTGAACAAGTAATTTAGCACTTGCTATTTGAGATGGTAGTCGTCATGCCCTTAATCTTGTTTCCTGACGGGCAGATGGACAGACAGGTGATGGACAAAAGCAGGATTGACAGGTAGCTAGATGGTTTAGCGGTCTCTTGTACGAAATTTAGATAGGTAGACAGATAGAGAGAGAGAGAGAGTGTGTGTGTGTGCGTGTGCGCGCGCGCCCGCCCTGTCAACACGAATCTCTCCACTCTGCTGGATGTGTCGCTTCCTGCTCTCTGTAGTTGTCATGGCGAGGCCAGGGCTTGAGCGATAAAGAGCCATCTGCCGTCGGCATGACCACCTACAGCCTGGCGGCTTCCATGATTGATAGCCCCCAGCGAGTGACACAGCGAAGAGAATATGAAAAAAAATTAAGGGAGGGGAGGGGAGGTCAGAGGAAGGAAAGAGAGGAAAGGGACAAGTTCGAGAGGGGGACAAACAAAGGAGGCTGGACGACGACGAGGAGGAGGAGAGAAGCAGCTCCAGATGTCCTCCTGTTTGCTCTGAGGTTATGACTATCTCTCCCTCTGTTACCAAGGGAGACAAATGGAAGAAACGTGAGCCAGTGAAACACCCCTCCCACCTCCTCCATCTCCATACACAACACAATGACATTCATTCAACCTCACTTCCGCCTCAGGCTAAATGGAGGTTGTGTGCTTTTCTGACATTATGGCAGAAGGCGTACCTTCATGCTTGGACACATTGCTGGAGACGGGTGCTCAGAAAAAAAAAGATTCTTTACGATTACTGTACCAAGTTAAATTGATATTGTATATAACTGAGAAAAAATATAGTTTTAACTTCGTACTTCCGCGCTGCCAGTTCCAACCGCGGGTAAAAATTGGTGGGTTGGACATCCGGCGCGAAAACTGCGCCAAGCAAATTATATGAGTGACTCACTCTGGCAAAAAGTCTTCTGCTTTTCTACTTGAGTACATTTCAGTGTGTGTGATTTTTTTTTTCAAACTTGTGTCGAAAGAGGGACTTTGGGGTGTTAAAACTACTTGCGGCATATGAACGTGGACTCATTTCACTTACCCCACCCACTCTGATCAAAGCCACGCCTCCCACGTAAGTGCAAAAGCGCAATCCTCGAACTTGGCTGTGCTCAATGGCACCTGATTCGAACTGTGTCGTCACGACGAATAGTCACAGCGAATGCATATGTAGCGTCATGAAAATCGCAGCAGAAGTAATACTACGGCCGCTGGGTTGCGAGTGTGAGTAAAGCCCTTTTCGCACTGCACCCGACTGGTTGCAAGCATGCCAATATTTGGGAGTGTTGACACGGTATACTGCGAAGAAGTCAAAACGGAGATTTGCTTTTGAGTTTGACGAGGGTGCGCTGCATCTTGCCAAATGCAGTGTGAAAAGGGGCTTTCTTCGTCATAGGGGGTTACTGTCATACTGAACGTTACCGATTTGAAATGTTGTTTTGGGGAATGTATGATCCATTCAAATTTTAAAAAAAACATATCCGTCGAGCAAAAATGTTGCAAATTCGTTTCTGAATCCTCTCAGGTGCCTTAGGTCCTTTGGCTCTGTTTCTGCTGGCGAGTCCTGCGCCCGGTTCTTGGCAAACAGTTCCTAGTACCAGCAGGGCAAGGCTGTGGCGGTGTGCCTCCTATGACAAAAAACGGCACCATGAGTGCACTCGTAAATGGACGCCAAATTCTGTGTATGAATGGTTGCTTTTCCTTGATTGTGGCGGTTTCTTAAAAATCAAGTTAGAGGTAGAAGATGGGGCCAGAGAGAGCCTTTTTTTCACAGATCATTCCACTTTTGTTCGACTGTCAGGTCATCCGAACAGTTTTAAC